ATGACATACTTACTTACTTTACTTTGGTCGAGTTCCCGCTAGAACCAAACTGAAAACCATCCTCCACTTCACTCTATCCTCCACCAGAGACTGGATTTTATGTCTGGTCTGAAGTTGTTACTCCTTTGACTTTTTTTTAACCTTTTGTGGGTTCCAAAAGGACGGATAATTTCTTTTCTCTCTGTGACCTGTTTGAATATGGTCTTTGGCCAAAGACAGCTGTGCTCTCTGCCCATGGTGTGGGGAGAAGACTGATGACCAGTAATTAATCATGCCAGGCGGCTGGATGGGTGGCACGTGGGCACCCCGTGTAAGTTACCTGCATGATCCAAAAACCACATGGCCGAAGGTTTCCTCCAAACTAATTCCCTGGGGAACGCATTCGTTAATTTTTGAAATTCTTTCAAAGCGATCGTAGTACTTACACAAATGCCTCCGCCCCAAAGGCGTCGCCAAAAAAAAACAACTATTTTTTAAGATTTTGCGAGCTGTACAGCATGTCAACCTTACCCCCCTCGCTGTCCTGTTGGTTCATGCGTCGTGCGGCCTGTAGTCTCTGCCGTGCGCCCCTCACCCTGCGGGGAGCCCCCGCGGCCCTCTCCACGTCCGTCCTGGGGCGCGGCGCACCACGCCGCTGGCCATCAGCAGCAGCTGGAATAGTCATGGCCCAAATCAGCCAGCATATATACAATTACACTTGCTGAACTGGAAATTGTAAATGTTCATGACCTTCAATGAGTTCAAGTCCATAGTGGGTTTTGAGTGTATTCGAACTGTACAGGGATTGTATTAGCCTGATTAAATCGCTTTTGGGGGCACACCCCAGTTTATTTGGCGTCTCTATTCGAAGCTGCACACCCTCAAATTTAGCGACCGTGTCTGGCGTGGAATAATTCGGAAGGAGAATAACTGTATATGGGACGAAAGGATATCTCTTCAGCTACAAGACCAGCTGAGTTTGGTTTCTTCAACCTTTTTAAGTTTGGTAAAATCAACGGAAAAAACATTATTTTCACTTCAAAATTAATGCCCAAAATTGCGAATTTTCGCGTAGGATAATCCCATAGAAAAAAATTTTCCGGCAGAAATGACTGATGCTGGCAGAAAGACCCAAGCCTTGACTATACCCGAGTAAATTATAAAGAAAATTCTAGTACTGTAATTTTTTTAACAGTCCACGGCGCGAGGGGTTGCAAATCCACCCCTACGAAGGCGCAGAGCGAAATCTAGGTCAAACGGGCGGATTACACTTGGCGCGCAAGGATACCCGGAAGTAAGGTTCGGAGCCAAAAGAAATTTTCACCCCAAAATCACCATTTCTTACACTCTTCAGCCATGTTAATGTTTAATGATACTTTGTGGCAGTTTATGAGAAATGTCACATCAAACTTGGGCCCTCAAAACCCCTTCGTCACTTTTTTACAACGGACTATCACGGACCCCGGTCGCGCAAGAACTGGGGTGTGCACCGTTTTGCCGGCTGCCCAACATCCAGCCGGCCCCCGAACTATGTAGAGAGCCCCCCGGAGCTTGGGTTACATAGGCTAGGATGGTACTATGATGTAATTTAATCAGGTATTGAACCATTTCTGTCCACTTAAACTTTCACCCCACACGCACATGCTGGGTCTGACCTTCCTATCAGTTATGAATCCAAATCATTAATCACCTCCCACCCAGGAAGGAACTTGCACACACCATGCAACCAAAGCAATAAAGGACAGAGACAAACCCACAACGGTAACAGTCTCCCAAAACAATCAGATTCTGTACCTAGAAGTAACCAGGGGAGCACATCGGACAGCAAACATACACTTGCAGAAGTTGATGTTGTTAAGAATATCATGCCAAACCATGGATAATCTTGGAAAGCAACCAAGGAGTTTTTTTTTAAACCTACTTGGTCTGTAAAACCTTCTTGGCTTGGCAAACGTTTGGACTCAAAATTGCCAACAAGAACACCTAATCTTGGTGTATTTTATCCTTCTTTATTGGCGTGTAGAAATCCTGTCTAGAGCAGGCTGCATTTGTACATATAACGTTCATTCTTATGTTATTTTAAAAGGTTGCATACGTGTTGCGCAAGTTTCTGTGACCCGCCCCCCTCCCCCCCACCATAAACATACAGTATGGCACACATGCACAGCCCGTAAACACACATAATGAGAACAAAAGTGGGCATCTATGTTATCTTACGCTGTTCTTCTTGCCCTCCTCTAAGTTTGACGGCCAGGAAAAGCAAAACTGCGACGAAAACCGCCGCTACAGCGTACAAAACTGCCGCGTCCACCATGGCGAAGATGACGATACTGTGCCTTCTCGACGGAACTGTACATTGGGCTATTCCACTATAATTATGGGGGGTGTACAATATGGATTTGTACAGTGCTGTTCCTGAGCAATGTTTTAATAGACTCACATGTTTTGTTTCCTCTATCAGATATAAACGTACGCTGTGTAGATAAGTTATATGACTAATTTTGATTCATGCACAAATACCAAGGTCCTGGATGACTAGGCAATGAATTTTTTGCTTCAAATCCCAGTCAGTGAATGAGATCATTGATATACTAGCTATAGGACATTGTAGCTCTATATAGCCTGTCTTGATAATTCATCATCTCTATGATAAAAATGTGTAGCCTGGTGGGAAATGTTGGGAAAAATGACAACAAGAGAAGAACTTTACATAAACACATTGTATTCTTGTAAGATAATCTTCAAGACCTTTGTAACAAATTCTCTTCAATATTGGACAGTAGGATATGTAAGTAGGCAGCAGGTTGTAGGCAGATACACATACACTACATACTTAGTAATACCGGGCTGTCCTTCAACACTGCTGTCTCCAAGGATGCAATGCTACATGTACAGTGCTAAAGCCCTCTATTAATAGTCATCAATTTCTCTCACATACATAGCAATTAACATTACACATTATGAACTTGGTGACCTTTGACCTTTACAGAGAAACAATGTAACTGAAAGCATTATTCTTAACAGGTAAAAAAGTGTTTCTGATGACTGAGTTTTGGAAGGCATGGTGAAACAATCAATCTGTTAAGACATTGACCAAGTTTCCTTTGGGAGACAAAATCACCTTTTTTATCTGCAAGTTACTCAAGTTTTCCTGTCCAACGCTGCTCTCTTGTACTAATCTCTCTAATGCTTCAGCATCAGTTGCTTCAGTTCTATCAACCTCTATTGTTCCCACTTTTCTATTGTTGATCAGAACTTTGACCATGACTGTGTTTGTTTCCACTTCCTTGGTAGCTACAGGCCATGGTTGTCGGAGGGCATCTTTGCTCCAGTCATAACTGACTGTCTTGTGTTTGACACTCTTCAAGCCTTGCCACATCTCTGATGAGATGTGTGGTGCCAGAGGGGCCAACATGAGCACCAGGCTACACAAAATCCTCTCAAACTCTACACTGTGCTGAGCCACTGTGTCAGGCACCTTCCTAAGAATGCTTGTCAACCCCATCAACTCAATGATTGCTGCATTGGGACTGAAGTCTTCATGTAAATGCCTAGTTATATCAGTTATGAAGGTGTTTGATTTGGTTATAAGCTGACTTTCCTTCTTCTTGTCACTGTTGCTGAGTGCCTCTTGACTGGGTGAAGAAGTTGCTCGTAGCTCTAGGAACCGAGACACAAGGGCCCAAACACGACCCTGCCAGCGCAGCACGCCGTTGATGGCTTTGATGTTCCAGTGAATGTCAATCTCCGGAGGGACCCCCTGGAGTATGAAGAGCCTCACAGTGTCAATGCCGTACTGGTCCAGGAGCTCCTGTGGGTCTACACCATTGTGTTTGGACTTGCTCATCTTCTCAAACTCCACAGTCAGCTTTTCACCTGTCTCCTTCTCAACTGGCTTAGGACCAGACAAGTCCACCTCCTTAGGTGTTAGGTACCTGCCAGTTGATTCTACCCTGTAACTGGGACCCTTTACAATGCCTTGAACAAGGAGTCTTTTGAATGGTTCCTTATGTGACACCATGCCTTGCTGATGGGCAAAATGACTGAGGAACCTGGCATAGTACAGGTGCATTACGGCATGTTCTTTGCCCCCAATGTAGAGATCCACAGGCATCAGCTTGTCAGCTGTTTCTTTTCTCCATGGCTCTTCTGTGTTGTGTGCATCACAGAACCTGAGGAAGTACCAGGCTGAGTCAACAAACGTGTCCATAGTGTCTGTTTCTCGCCTTCCTGGTCCTCCGCATTTTGGACATGTGGTATCTACCCATTCAGATGCATCAGCTAAGGGACGTCCACCCTTACTGTTAGCAGCCGTAGGAAGCTCTATGGGAAGACTGTCAAAAGGTACTGGTACCTCTTTACAAGTTGGGCAATGAACAATTGGGATTGGGGTACCCCAAAAACGTTGCCTTGATATGGGCCAGTCATGGAGGTTTGCACTTGTCCAGTGACCTCCACATCCCTTTTCTCTAGCAGTTCTTGTGATCTCTTCACGTGCCGCTTGTCTGTCTAGGTTAGTAAACTCAGCTGAATTTACCACTTGGGCTGAGCCATCACTGGAATGTTTGATGACAACTTCAAAGTCAAGTCCATGTTTTTCAGCAAAGGTTTTGTCCACATCATTCAAACATGGTATTCCCATCTTAGCATCAATGTGCTCTTCAAACTCTGCTTCAGCTGACACATAAACTGGGACAGGTTTGTTTGTAAAGGGGTGCACTGCTGACAAGGGAAGACGAAACACTTTCTGTCTTGTGATTTCTTCACTCCATTGGCTGAATGCCTGAGTTCCTTTCAGCAGGTGGTGGTCAGGTGAGAGGAGGATGTGTGACACACCAAAGACAGCTTCTGGACTGGTGGTGAAAACTGGCAGCACACTGTCTGAGGAGACATCTTGCCCTTCCAGCTTGAAATCATAGTAGCATCCGTTACACTCCCCAAGCCACCAGGACTGCATCCCTTTCACATACTTCCCCCACTCTGTTAACTCTTCAAGTCCCTTCAGAAGAGAATCGGAAAAATGAGTGATCCTGACGAACCACTGCTTCAAATACTTCTTCTCGACCTTTGCTCCCGAACGCCAGGACCGACCGTTCTCGTCTACCTGTTCATTGGCTAGCACGGTTTTGTCCACCGGATCCCAGTTCACCAGGGCTTCTTTACGATAGCAGAGTCCTGACTCGTACAGTTTCAGGAACAGGTACTGTGTCCATCTGTAGTAGTTAGGGTCACAGGTGCTGACTTCTTTTTCCCAGTCAAAACTGAGGGAGAGACTTTCAATCTGTTTCCTCATGTACTCAATGTTGCTCTTGGTCCAGGCATCAGGGTGCAGCCCCCTCTCTATGGCTGCATTCTCTGCGGGTAGACCAAATGCGTCCCATCCCATAGGATGGAGAACCTGGTACCCGTTCATCCTCTGGAAGCGAGCAACCGTATCACTTATTGTGTAAACACGAACATGACCCATATGCAGCCTTCCTGAGGGGTAAGGGAACATTGGTAATACGTAGTACTTCGGTCGATCTGATTGAAACTTTTGAGTCTCTTTACTGTCCTTTAAGAGTTTTCCATACCAGTGTTTCTCCACGGCTATCCTGGTTTCCTTGGAGTAGTCTTTCTCCCACTGCCCAGTCACACTGTAGATGCACCTCAGCCATGTGGTGCTAACGCATGGGAGCTGTTTGCCTTCGCCTACACGAGGAAGTAGAAAGGTCTTGTACCCAAGAGAAGGCAATAAGTTTGCACGGAAACCCAGCATCTTGAAGGGTTAAAAAATGGACTCAAATGTGTTCTTAACTATGCCTAAGCATTACTAGTATATTTGTTTGAAGTCCATGCCTACACATCATTTGCCAACGGGCGCTGCCATGTTGGACGAGAACATGTCTCAAGGGGTCCTTGACTGAATATGGATCAAAAATAACATCTGTACCACGACGTTCCTGTTATCATCTTACGCATCAATACTACTACAAAGATGTCTCTAGTAAGTAGTGACAGATTATTGACAAGTTCGTAATAGAAATGATAAGAACTAGCTTTCTGATGTCGTCACCCCTGTTTAATAGTGGCGCCTTCTTAGTACAGGTCATAGGTTAGAAAACCCGCGAAACGAAGCAGCAACAGAGCCGCGCTTTCCAACACGTATCCATATCGGCCAGGGAGGCAACATGCCCAAGAGGAAGAGATTGGAGGAAAGCAAAGGGTATTCGTGAACTAGACTGATCCTTTTATCGTGACGTTTGCGTATGACGTTTGCGTATGATATGATAAACAACAGTAGCTGCTGTGACCCTAGCTTGCCGTTTATGATAGTTCACCCCTCCCCCCTGGCCTTTGCCATTCATACATAAATATTTTTGCATCGGCAGCTGCATAATGACACGTAGGCATTGTTGGTATCACAAATTTTAATTCCTTTGTCTTTATTTGTGGGGGTTGTGCCTTAAGTTACAACACTAAAACTGAAAAATCTACGTCTAATGTCCAAGTAATTTATGTGGTATTTATTTCCTTGTGTCCCATATAAATCGAGACTTTCTATCAAATATTAGGGGGCCACCTACATGTACTTCCTTTACCTATTGATCATGTTACATATACAATCTCTGATGATAGAGATTTGAACAGCGCACGATAATATGACATCTAAAATAATTATATGCCCTCAATGTGCCACATCATAATTTGATCACTGTTGCATACTCCTAAAAATTTGCAATACATGTACTTTCTGTATGTTCCAGTGACCAGATAATCACAAAGTTCTTTCAGAGGAGCACACAAACAGGTACCCACATGTAGCCCAAACGGGACTCCAGCATGCCTTTCCATTGACAAAAGCACATAGCTATGTAAACACATACTCAATGTATTACAATGTATCACATCACTTCACCTATTTTACACATGTATGTGACATTATTCACAAATGAATGTGCATGAACCAGGAAGGAGCATGTTGTATGATACATGTAGCACTGATGCTAAAATTAATGTTTGAATGTCAGATTTTTATAGCTAATGATACTGATGGAAACCCCTTTAGATGTCTTGGTTAAAGATTTGAATGAAAAGTATGTAGGAACTGCTTACATTGAATATTACACCAATTTAAATTCATCCTATGAAGACATGAAGATGTAAGACATGAAAACAATGGTAGGATACCGATCATATTAAATGTCTTATTAAAATGTCTTGGTTTATTAAAAATTGTCTTGGTTATTTCCATCTGCAGCCAGAAATGCAGCCAGTAGTGCGGTGACAACCCAAAGTAAGAAAAGATCAGCAACACAAGTACACAGAGCACCAACTACCCGACGAGCCATGTCATCATCACGGGCCTCCACCAGCAAGGAGGGTAGCTCCTCTGGCAGCAACCCTGCTTCAGCTAGTGCCTCTGCCTCAAAGCATTCATCCACTGCATCCAAGCCATCTCCTACAAAAAGTAAAGAACCCCAGACTGACACTTCTCCGATACTAGAGGCCTTCAAGAGGCAAGAGCAGAGGCAGAGACAGAAAGCAGCCACCAGGAGCAACACTAAGGAGGATGGACAAGAAGACTCCGGGCCTCTCTCAAAGCAAGGTTCATCCAAGAAAGACATACAGGCATCTGGTCTTACTTCTGCAGACACATGTGGAGAGATGGCTAGAATGGGAATACAGGGTTCTAAGGAGAAGGCTTTACCCAAGAGGAGACTAGAGTATGAAGGCATGTGGTATTTCTTTTGTCTGTACATAACCTGGCTCAATTTCAAGAAAATATAGTGTTTGAATCAAATTTGGAGGTGGGGGGGATAAAGTGCAAAGAATTAAAAGTTTATGTTGATTTAGACATCAATACTCAAACTTTATTAAGAGTCAACATTTGTTGCCCTGTGTTGGACAAAGCTACGTTTGCCTTGATGTAATTATATCTATATGTATATGCCAACATACTTCCAGGTGGGGACAAAACAGAAGATGGATCAAAGAAGAAGCAGAAATCTGATGTGTCATTCAAGATAAGTGACTCCAAACGAGAGGAGTTCAAAGCCAATTTATCTTCCTCACCAAGGTTTAAGATCAAGCCAGAAACACTACCAAAGAAAGCCAAGGAAACTTCCTTGACAGAGAATCTAAACACAGAAAGTACAGAGGAACCTGGGACAGAGAATCTTCAAAGTCAATCAGGTGAAGGAAGTAGCAGCCAAGCAGACAAGCCCAAGACTGCTGAGGAACAAGATGCAGAAAGTGGACCATTAGCCCACAGTTATCTAAAAGTGCAGAAGTTGCCAGCAGGCAGCTTGAGGATATCGGAGGCATCAAAGAAGGCATTTCAGGAGAAGATCAAGGCTTCACCTTTGAAATTAGCTACAGATGTCCCAAAGGAAGAAAAAGAAAGTACATCTGAAATAAATCAAGAACACCCAGAGCAAATGGGAGGTGATGAAACGTATCACATCACGCCACTTAAAATCAGGGCTTTCTACCCCTTTGAAAAAGGGCATGTCTCACCATTGGATAGAAGTCTGCCAAGTGGGCCTGGTAAATGTCAAGTCACAAAAACACCCCAAAGTAAAGGAGAAGAAATCGTGCCTGGAAGGACACTTGGCAAGGTCACAGAATCGCAGGAGAAACCCAGAGGGGTGATGAGTCTGTTCCAGGAGCTGAAGTTATCAGTTAAAGATAAGCAGGACCAAGAAGATGAAACTTCTAAAGATTCTTACGATCAGTCTGCAACACCAACAAGGAGTAGTCAGCCTGCTGGGGAAAAGACTGCCTCCTCTATCAAGATGAATATCGCAAAGTTAAAACAGATCATCAAGGCACCAAGCCTCTCTCCGCAGACCTCTGCTGCTAATTCTCCTGCCCCCTCAGACAAGGGAGGGGAGAATGGGGAGGGGGGCACAGACACCAAACCATTGTCTGTGACTGAGAGTTTAAGAAAGGGGGAGGATGTAGAACTTCCGGAAGTCGATAATGACAAGCAACAGGCTGATCACACCAAACTGCAGAGAAACCTCTTTTCCACACTTACCACTGTGGAGGAACAAGTTGGCGACTCAAAAGTCAAACATTCCGTTCTTGCCAAATGTGATCAGGAAGACAGTGAACCAGAAGATGTATGTCTGGATGAGAGCAAAGCTTTTGACTCTGACGAGGAATTTGGACTTGAGAGTGATGACAGTGATGACGACCTTCTCCTTATGCCTGTTGCAAACCTGAAGGATATCCAATCAGCCAGGTAAGATGCTCATGAATATTGCAAGGCTAATATTATTATTTGCTCATTTTATATTTACGCCATTTATCAAACTACTACATACATTCAAGGCCTTTACATATTATAGAAATCTATATTTGTGCATTACGATTACCATCTCTAATTGATATTGCAGAAGAACATATGTCTAGTAGTGTCTTCATATTAACTATAATATTATTGCCAGTTTCATATTTGCTCTTAGATAATTATGATTCTTGTGTAGAATATTTTCACCCTACTATACATGTGGCCCAATTAAGTGTGCATAAAAAGAGTTTTATGATATAATAAATTATATGTCATTTCCTGTTTCCAGTCTGAGACCCCCACCATCTACTCCCCAGAAGCTGTCAGAGAGCCAGGAGATCCCATGCAGCCCCATGAGCCCGGCCATGGAGGTCCCAGTACCCAGGGATGTCAACTTCAAGTTCTCTCTGGATGATCTTCTTGCTGAACAGAACAAAACTGTAAGTATTGTTGTGAAAAACTTCTCCAGGTTGGCAAATTACAAATGTATTAGTAGAATATTTTCTATTCACAACTAAATGAGTTTTTACACAATATATTGCCTGCAATTTGGTAACCATCTGTCACCTTCAATATTGGCTGGTTCTAATTTGCACTGCAGCTAGGTATCAATGCTGCAGTGTTGAAAATAAGTATTATTGAGTTTAAGAATGCAATTTTCAGTGCTCTTTTAACCTTTAGCTGAAGCAACACTTTGGCTATTGGCTACCAAGTCTCTACTGATTATGGTTTTAGGCAGCAGGGAGAAGGTTAAGTGACAGGTTGTGTTGAACGTTAACAGGTTGGTCGCGAGCCGCGCCGTCTGCGTGATGTCACAGACGAGCTGATGGCAGACGTGCGGCAGGGCGGGTTCCGCCGCATGGTGGATGATCTGGAACGGGAGGAACAAGAGGGCAGCGATTCTGATAAGGGTGAGGAATGATGTCATTCATGTCGCCTTACTTGTGACCTTGGGAAGGTTGTGGGATTGTGAGGATAGTGGATACCCTAAATGCAGTGATTGAAATTAAACCTGACTGCACGTCAAAAAAGAAATTTGTACGTTGAGCAGTGCATCTTTGATCTAGAACTGTGATGTATATATAGGTACTAGTAGTTTTGTTATGTAGAATTTTGATGGTATAGATGAGTAGTAAGAAGTGCAGACAATCAATTCATGCTCATATATAATCTTTCCAGAGGGGAAGCTAGAGAACCCAAAGCACAAAAAGTTTGTGCGAGACAGGAACCTAAAGAAAATGGAGATTCCTGACATGCATCCTGGGGAAGCTGTGTTCAACCCCAAGGACATGGGCAGGGTAAGCTGGCTTTTATTTGTTGCAGTTTGTACATGTCAGTAGCCTTTGTTCTGACTGCTGAGGAAGTGAGCACAGTGGGTCAAGGTAGTTACAATTTATAACCAACAGTCTTGTTCTATTACCATACTTTAGATCTCACAGTGTTTTTATTTTTGTGGTTTTCATGGTAAACCTCCTAATTAATTGACTTGTTGCTAAATCTAATCTGATATTGCCAGCTATTTTGTGGCTCTAACTACGTCTAAGTTATGTACATGTATAGAAAAGCAAAGTGATATCAATTTTCATTTAACAATGTTTAATGCAAAATATTAGGTATTTCCCTTCACTTCTTAAAACTTGATACAAGTTTATTATCTATACTGCCAACAGTGCAGGATGGTTTCAGGGCCTAAAACATGTCTTTTCAACCCTAGTTATTTGACTTCCCTGGGTCCCTGACCCTTGCGTCGTGTGGACTGGAGCCCCCCCTGGACCAGGAAGACCCCCTCCACCTTCTCCTCACCAGCCCAGACTGTGTGGAGGACATGCTGACCAGTGGCACGTTAGAGGACATGTATGCATACGATGTGTGCCCAGAACCACTGCAGAGGTGGCTCTTCTTCGTCAGTAAGTCTCTTTCCACGTTTGCTTCATTATCAAGCTACATTGCATGTAAATAGCCACTTAAGTAATTGGCAACTATACCAGGATTATGTTTCGCATCAAAAAGGAATTAGTTGTCAAGGTCACTAGCGATGTTATGAAATACATCATCAATAATTCATCAACACATCCACAAATTTTGTATTCACTATAATTATATACATATAACTTCCTTTACATGGCAAATTCATTAATTTAGAATCTATAAGTTGGCTATATTGTTACACAATACAAAATACACATATCTCTAATTGGCATATCTATGTGTGACCATTTTTTCTATGAAATTGTTATAAGCTTTTCATATCATGTCAGTACAATATCATGATATGAACATTACATGTGTTAAATATATATGACATTTAGAGAGGTTCAATGGGAGTAAGCTTAAAATGTCTGTTCTGAACAAATACATTTTAGATCTATTACAACACATGGTCCAGTGTACAGTGTTTTGAAGTGTTTATGCTCAAGTTTGAATGATGAATATATTGGTTCTCTTCTTGAAGTGTGCATCAGTAGGGACCAACACACTGCCAACTCTGCCTACAAGACTCTCACATCCATCCTCATGTCCAACTTGAGTTTGGAAGAAGATGGCGGCCCAGTGTGGCTGCCATGTCTGGCTGATGTCACCAGAGCACTGCTCAACTATGGAGCACAGCTGCCTGATCTATATCCCCTTACTTCTGCCAGACCGTCATTCAATGAGGAGGATATCAGGTGAGGCCAGGTGTCAGAAGTTAACCCTGGTGGTGTCATGCTGTACCAGTTTTTTTCCAACAATAGCATTGTACGTATACTTCAACATTGAATTCTGTTTATAATTATTACAATTATTATTTCTGAATATAGGATTAATATAGGATTATATAGGATGTATAGGATATAGGATTATATTTTGATTTAGCATCAGTCTTAACTAATTTGTTCTGGTCTTGTTCTTTTATTCAGCTACATACATGTACTTATACATACTGTCCTCCCACATGTGTATCTGATGTACTTCTTTCCCTCCTTATGGAGAGAATGATTTCCTGCTTTCCTGCACTTTTGTCACCCATAGAAAAAAATCAGGGAATGACTGTTAACGGTTTGACCTGTTTCACCAGCTTGCCTCTACATGATGCTGAGAAGGAGAACCAGAATGGGAACATACCATCTGATACGAGGGGGGGTCAGGAGGGACACAGAAGACTTCCTGCCGTAAACCTGATCTATATGCTACAGACTCTCAGCAAATTGAATGCTCCTCCCAGAAAGTAAGTAATTATTTTGTACTCTCATTATTTTCTGTTCTTCAGACTTCACATGTATCTGTGGCAGGTACATGTATATGAAAAAGAGAGAGATTTGTTGTATAAATTGTATACCAATCATTTATTACTTTTGGCAATCAATAAGACATAGGAGAAAGTAGTCATTATGATGTTTACATGTCAATGTTTCTTCTAATCTCCTTTACATGGAACATACCTTTCCTTTGCAGTGACACACTCCATATATACTCTGAGCAGGACCTGAAGCACCTGATGTATATGTTGTGTCGGACACTTCTTGATGTGCAGCTGAGAGGGTAAGTTGTCCTCTGTGGATGGAAACAATGTTTTACAATGATATATGCTTATCAATGCATCATTCTGACCTAATCTGAATTTTGGGATGTTGTATGTGGAAAAAGCAATTCCTTTTCATGTAGGATTATCATCTTTTTTTTTACATTTCCCACTGTTTGGTTGTGCTCCATCCAGGTTAGCGGTGCAGTTTGAGTTCCAGAACTGCATAGCAGAGATTTTGGACTGGTTTGAAGAGGATAGTTGGCCAGAGATAGTAGGTTTAACCTAATGTTAAATGTTGAGTTGATTATTGCTATTATTCCTGTGACCCAACATTAATACAACACTACATAACACAAGGAAAAGGTAACTTTTCTGACTGCCAGTTGGTTACTAATAGGTATTTATTGTAATGTATCCTTAGTCCAGTATTACACATGTTCCTCTCAGGTTGCAGAACTGTGCAGTTCCCTCCCCCACCTCTCTTCCCACCACCACAACCTGCTGACACTGGCACGCCACATGCCATGTACAGAACGGGGCAGGTAAGGTCTCACAGATATTATCCTAATTATGGTCTCACCATCAATGGGACAGAAAAAAAAACATACACCCCTTAATTAGCAGGAAAATAAAGATTCCTTGGCAGAGCAGTAGGAAGTAGAAATAGCAAGTTTTCAGCTGTCAAATCATCCTGTGTTCTCATTTCTTATACATGTATGTTATACACTCCATTTATTATAATCCATCAAATTTCAAGAAATACTATTGAATTGGAACCATATCCAGTTCAGTCAATATGGTCATTGGAGACCCCATGTACATGTATTATAGGACTGGCACAAAGAAAATAAAGTCATGTTGAACCAAAAGTACTGTAACGGTGCTTGCTAATTGAAGGTCTTAATAATTCTGAGGCTAGTCTTTCTTTCACAAGGTACTTACAGAGAAGACTGAGCCTTTGTATCATGAGGAAGCTGCTCAGGCAAGGCAGGGATAGGGAGGGTTCCACAGAGGTCAGGCAGAGGATTGGAACAGACAGCATGGACACTGATTTCCAGGTTTGTAGGAAAATTTCAGGTACTTGTTGTTTACAGAGATGATATCGACCATAAACTTCATTGAGGGTAACAATGATGTTATTGTGCATGTCTAGAATATGCTATAATTTGACCCCTGAATCATACTGAGAGGAATAGTTTATTTATTTTATGTCTTATCCATGTTGATTTAAAGCATGATTGAAGCGGAAGTGATGTTGCAGTAATGATCTCCAACTTTGAATGATACCGATATTTTCAGAAATCTATAATATTGTAAGTGAATACTACACAGACTACACTGTAATACTACATTGTTGTTTATTTCCACAGTTGACAGAGTTGACACCACTCCTGCCAGACTGCCAGATGAAGAATATCCTGGTCCTGGTGTCGTTAGAGCGGGAGTCTCAGAACAGCAGCCAGGAGAGCGACGATGGCGGCCGGAGCTTTGAGAACGACAGAGAGGCGTACTATCTACTCAGCAGCCTGGTACACCTGATAGACATGGTGGTGGGGAATGAACCTCTACCCACCAGTCAGCGGGTAGGTGGTGAAACACTAGTTGTGCACTACATGTATGGAAGCAGAGTGAGTGTGCTCACGTTTACCTTTTAAATTTTATATATTCCGATGCCTTTTACAGGAATTCATTCTTTCGGAAGACCTACCATTTATTAGGCTTAGATTTCTTCTTGTTTTATGTCTGTAGAGTTTTTGTATTATTTTAATGATGTATTGCACATGTGTTATATGGGTTTTTACCTGAAATAAAGAATGAATGAAATGTTTGGTACCCACATTAATTGGCATCAAAAGTACTATAAATTCATTTACTTTATAACAGTGGTTCTAATTTGCGGTAATGGTTACATGTAACGTTACAAAGAAAAATGGTATTCTCGCAATGTTGTGAAGTCGCAGTTGAAATAGTTCTGTAGCATAATAGTCATACAAAGAAGACACTATGAAAATAGATAATTTTTCAATGCTTTGTATAGATATAAAGTTTTGTACAATGTATAGAACTACATGCACTAAGTGATTATTTTCACAGGAGAGACAGGACACCTTTGTGTATGATTATAATGATTCCAATTGTGTGTTTAAGTGATCCTGTTGACCTCTGTGTTCAGGATGACCTTGTGCAGGTGATTCAGCAGTTGAACAGCATTTCTGGGAACATCAGGGACAACATCAAGCTCTTCCACAGGTCAAAGGTCAGATAGCATCTAGCTTGTGTTTAAAACTCTTAAGAAACCCACCGTCAACAAATGCACCTCTGCATTTTTTTAAAAATACTTGTTGGCCTTGCTTAATGTTTACCAATCTAGAGTTCTGTCTTCAGTACAATGTCATGCACATTTTCTATATTTATCATGAATTATCTCCCCAAATCAAGCAACTGAATAGCTGTGGCTGAAGATAGTATTTTTCTACCTGTAATTCTTTGCTGTTTGCACCCCCAGGTGAAGAACTTGGTGATGCGCACAGTTGATAAGCTGAACATTTTAAAGGATGGGATGGGGAGTACGAATCAGGTATGATAGTTGCCACTGTTGTACATCTAAACTTTTATGATTGGATGCATGCTCTCTTTAATACTGCATGCAAACTTCATCTAGACAAATCTACAGTAACTTTTAGGTTATGTCTAATGCTATTGGAGATATCAATTTTATTTCAAAAATATTATATGTACTTTGTAATAGGAATCTTGATTTACAAAATATGATATTTACTTCACACACATAATAATGTTGAATGTTGAAGCACTCAGTATCGTACCACTCATTGGCCTCAAAACCTTCCCACCAAGACAAGGGTACCCTCATCTCATCTATTATTTATTTGACTTTGGAAATCATTTGACAACCATTTTTCTCCACCCTTTTTTTTCCTTCACCCTTGATGTTTTACTTGTGTGTCATGCTGGTAATACAGCACTGTATTATATTTGCCTGTATGGTCAACTTCAGGCACGATTTCTTGCTAACAATAGACTGGCTTAGTGTAACAGCAGCATTTGAGTGACTATCACACATTTAGGAAGGTTCACAAAATGTTGAAAACCTAAGCCACTCTTGGGATACAGAGATTTTGACACTTTTTGAAAAAACTTTGTGTGATTCAACTGTTGTCAAGTTTCTGTGCAATCTTTATTGTTTTTCTTTTTATCCTCCCTTACAGCGACCCCTGTTTGACTATACGAAAGACCAAAACAGCGGACGGGAGGAGAGTGGTTCATCCCCAATATGGAAGTCAGGACAACTGTCAGAAACCAACTGTGAAGACAGTGAGTCAGGCACACACCGCAGTGGGCGACTATCAGCCATGAGCGTGGAGAGCAATGTGACAGGCACGGCTTCAGCTAGACTGGCTAGCCCTGAAGATGAGGACCAGCATTCACCTACAGAACACGCTATAGAACAAGAAGGACAGCATATGACTTAGCTGTGTATACCGAATATTACATTATTTTGTACAATGCCCTTTTGTCTAGAGAAACGCAATACTGTACAGATACTAGACTTTTCAAGAAGACACATACATGCATGTATACATTGTATCACTCTATTGTTTTACATGTCACATACTTATTTAAACAAACAACTACACTTTGTTTGATACAGCACTCCACCCATGTTTACTGGAGGTGAGTTTGCAGAAAATAGCCTTCCGGAGTTACATGTACTCAATGATACATGTATGTCATGTTTGCTTTCTGTGGAATTCTACAGTATGCATAAGGTTACATACTAGTATCATGGAGGTACAAAAAGACTCTACCTCCATGATAGTATTCATAAAGAACACATTGTTGCTGTTGTTCTAAGTTACAGGCAAAAGCTTTTTTCTCGCACAATATCACTTTACATGTTCAACACACCAGTTTTCATACTTGAACCGAAGATGTTATTTTTAACACAAATCACTTGATCAGTAACATTGTACAAACATGTGGTAAAAGGATTAAAACAAATATAAGAAGAATCACATCAGAATCTGTCAACAATTTGGATTGACTTAAGTATTACATACATATGTAATGACAGAGTCACATTCATCATAGCTCGTAGATTTTAAACTTGTAGGGTTTTCAAGCAGGCGGTGACAGAACCAAGTCCAAGATAGAAGAATCTAAGACAGCCTTGTTCATAACAAAACAGCTGTAATGTGCAAAAGACATGCACTATTCTAAGAACACATTCAGTTTGCATTCATAGAACGTATGTGACTGGCTCCCAAATACTTGATTGTATACTTGGCAGTACAATGTATGAAAGTATGGTTCATGTATTTATGTACATCATGCATGATGATTGATACACAGTCACCATGACTTGCACGATAACTAGACAGAGGAGGTGATCATGCATGTAGTTACTGTAGGTTACAGATATTGCTTGACGGTTGACAGTCCGCCCTGGTGTATTCGGTGGTGTTTGTGGTTGAACTACATGCCCCCCAGCGGAGATCCTCCAGGGCTGTAGGGCTGGACAGCTTGCCTGAGTCCACTATCTCCTGGAAGGTGCTTTGGGCATCTGATGCCTTCCAGTCCTTAGTCAGAGTGTTGCCATGAATCTCTTTCACCTTTACCTCAGCCTGCAGTGAATACAGCACCATTCTATCAACATTTGTACCATTTATAAAACTTATATTTACACTATAGCTACACATATAGTTTTTAAATGCTACAATGTAATATTCTGAAAATGTATGGAAAAGATGACAATATCCAGACATAGTTTTAAATGACAGTTCTGGTCTCTGGTGATTATCATACCTCATCTTCAGCTTCCTCCAGAGAAGTTGTGGTTTTGACTGCAGCTGGACAAGTCTTGTCCTGGAGTGAAGATGTCCGGGATATGGTGTAGTCTGTGCCTGATGGTGAACTATACAACGTCTCCTCGTTGTTCGATCGACCTAGTAGCCAGTAGGTCTTCATTTTACCTTTTCCCTGAAATAGTACCACCATAACGTGTTGCTTCCATTTTAAGAGCACCGAGTTGGATGTTTACCAATATGATTCTGGGACATAAAACCTCCTACACGAAGTCTTGAGTTGCCACGTACTGTCTCTTCACTTTGAGGGAACAACAGTCTGCTGCATGCCATTAGGCCCGACCAATTTTATTTCTAGATCTAGCTGCTCATGGTCTAGGGAGGTTTGCGATAGCAAAACCTACTAATTATTTTTCTACTCCGGACTTGTTTTTTTTTTCAAAATTATCTTTTTAAAGATAATGAAGCCATGCAAATAGAGTCTCTGATTACCTTAATGGTGACCACGCCCCTCTCCACCACGATATAAGGAAGGTGCGTAATCTCTTCCCGTGTAGTCTGACTCAGGTGAATGTAGTTCCCCTGTGGAGAAACCAGGATATCTCTATAAACAGATGCGTTGTTTGTGAACTAAAGGCTTTCCCACCCAAAAACATGATCTTGACATCGAAAAAATGACAGTTCCTTACATATCATAGTTATCAGCTTTTATCATAGTTACCTCACGTGAGTTTCAGCAGCAAAGAATACTGTGGTTGCGTTTCTTACTTGACCACACTGGCCCCTTGTGTCTTCGTATCGTTATGCGGTGAAGTGTGGGTACGGGTATTTAAAACATCAGTTTTATACTACATTACCTTTCCTGTGGTCTCCATCCTGGACGCCACGTTCACAGTATCCCCGAACAGACAGTACCGCGGGACCTTGATCCCCACCACCCCGGCCACAACAGTGCCGGTGTGCATACCTGTGAGGCAAATGAAATGAACGGAAAATTTTATGAATCCTTCTCTCACATATATGTACCGGACGTCGTGACAGCATACATTACGACATCGTACTAGTATTGTGTTAATGATGTTCAAACTTTTACCCACCGATCCTAATGGCGATCTGTTCATTAGTGACAGGGTCGATGATATTTTTAGCTGCTACCAGCATGTCCATAGACATCTCACACATGCGCTCGGCGTGGTCATTGATGCGTACCGGCGCTCCGGAAACAAGCATGTAGTCATCGCCAACCGTTTCTACCTGAGATGGAAACAATGGTATCTGTTATGGTTGCGTTTTAGAAGGGTAGCTACATCGGATCACATGAATGACGGATTTCTCAACACTATCCTTCATTAAAAGCAATCCAATTAAAACTGTCCCTACAAGTCAATTTAAGTGTCTGAGCTGTGGGTTTGTGTGTCTGTCCAGACAGGGTAGATTGACAGCACGTGTGCGGGGAAGATTGACAGGAAGGTGTGAAAGGTATTAGAATCTTGGAGGGAGCCGACAAGCATCTGTATCTATAATGCCAATATAACCGCCCCTCGGCCTGACACACCTCGGCCAGGCACGCGGCGCGGCGGCAGCTGGCTACACCGATCGACCCTTTTACACCTAGTCTTAGTCAAGAAGCGGAGGCCTAGGATTGCATACTTCCAGGAAAAAGTCTGAGATCTCTGATTTCTTATCAATTTATTGGTCATCCAACCAACGGATAGCCATTGTGAGGATCGAACCTCATTTGGGTTAGCACACTTACGTACCTTGTAGGTGTCATACTTGTCCACAAGGTTGTCGAACACAGTGTACAGGTCGTTTAACAGCTTGACGACTTGCATGGGGGTCAGGTGGGTGCAGATGGTGGAGAAACCGAACACATCGCAGAAGAGAACGGTCACGCTCTCAAACGTCTGGGAAATAGCAAAATCGTTATCAGCTGTACAAGGTTTTTAAATTCACAAGAAAAGGAGTTGTACAGGCCGATGTTTCAAAGGGGCAACTATGTATGATAATTGCTTAATCTTTTGTATCACTGTTTGACAGGATTGTATTGTGTTGACAGCCACTCCACGGAGTAGGGCGAGTCCAATGGTGTTAGTTCTTAGTCATTTTGTTGGCGTTTGTTTGACAGGATTGTATTACTGTTTGACTGTATGCACATACATGTGGCAAAATGTACGTTATTTGGGACGTCATTCATAACACAACAGAGACAACTAGCTGCAATGCTTAGTAGAACCAGTCAGTATTGCCAAGAGGAACGTCGGCTTGTAAAACACCTTTGGTTATGAATAAGGAATGTTGTTACACAACCATCTACAAAGTGGATGAAAGTATTCAAGGGCGTTTCGTCAGCTACCATATATACAAAGAATGACAACGTTTGCAATTAATTTTAATTTGATCCATGATCAGATTATGAACACCTTCTTTCCTATATGTCGAAAGTCAGGCAGCCACAGTGCAGTAACAAAACAGGAGATACATACATTGTCGTACAATTCACTGGTTACAGTTCAGCAGACAATGTCTCACCTCGCAGGTGTTGAGTGCCGGCTTGCCCTGTTTCAGACACTCTGCCACCTGCTTGGGGATCATCCCATACAGCAGCTGGTCCGTCTTCTGTTTCGCCTTCTCCAGTTTCTTCAGATTCTCCTCGAGTTGATCTGTCGTTTTCACCTCCTTTATATACATAATGAACATTATTTGTTAAGTTGAATTACATCCATGCCATTGCTATTGTATGTTGACACTTGACAGTTTTTTTGTCGACATGCCAGCGTTATACATATTAAATGAATAATACTTTTGTTGGAGATGGGGAAAATTCATCGATTGTATTTTTGTCCACATGGCTTATAACAGACTGGTACATGTAGAAAAATAATGTACAATCTGGTGAATCACATTAAACATACCACAGTGCTTTTGGCCACTGGTAAAATGATACTGCGGAGTATACATTCTGATTACCTTAGTCAAGGCCAGTTTTTCCTCCACATTTTTGTTCATCCCATTGACGACCATGTCCCTACTGAGGTCATGCATGCTGTAGTCGTTCAGGAAGAGACCATTGCCCCTCATGTCCTCCATGTCGGTCATTCTAAGGATAAACAAAAGGGCAATAATGTAAATGAGAGTGCACTAAAGTTAAAAGGCTGTCATCCACGGTAGATACACAGACCCACCGCTCAGCCTCCCAAAACAATACCCCCATGTCCGACAGTAAATACCCCCATGTCCGACAGTACATGTAACAATACTCACACAGGCGTACAGAGGAAGATGACTGAGTTCCAGTCAGGGATGTGTTTCATCTGCCCGCGGAGACTGAGGAACCTGTGAGAGATCGTCACCGGGTCCTCCGCCGCTTCCCCCTCCTCTATAGCCTGCATGATGGCCTGTGCGTCTGGAGTAAGGAAATCAAAGACGTTACTGGTATCATCTCACTCCCAGGGTCTTCATAAGGATTAGACGCAAGGACATCAAGCAGCGGTAGGCTAGAATGGTGCAATTTTCACACCCGTCATAGGTCCTCGTGCGATTTTGGTGCCATAGACTTTTCCAGTAGGCTCAAAGAGAACCAACTGCCGACAAGGGTTTACATGTATGACAGCCTTTTCCGTATGAAGACAGATGAAGTAGTGTATACAACGGTCAATCGACGTATATGACGTTGTCCCTAACTAGTACCAAAAGCAAACATAGTTGAAGACGTCATGTTTGGAGCATCAAGGCGCCACTGACCTAACGGCTGTTGGTCTGCAGCAGCAATCTGACTCATCTGCAGTCCCAGAACACCTTCCTTCGCATCAACCGGGATCGGCTTGACGTCAGATGCCGCGATGTCTTTCATCTCCTTTTTGTCTGTAAAGGAAATTGTAAACAATTAATGTTACAGGAAGTTTAAAAAGATCTTCAAACCATACGTGTATATATCGGAACAAAACATGTAAAGTTTGTAAGTTTAGAAACTCTTTCTTACCCAAGAATGTACGAGTTTTTCCCGACATGTATGTCACCCATTTATTGCGTAGGGTTGATTCTAACAGAAAATGTTATTAATTGACGTAGGGTTGATTCTCACAGAAAATTATAAAGACAGTTCAGACAAGAGAAGTGGAAAATGATATTTTAACAGCAGGCGTACTCAAGTCTTTAGGGTCATCCTTGACGAGCTGGTAGGCCATCAGCTGAGGGTCGTTGGGCACTTCTGCTGCCTCCAGGTTCAGCTCCTTCATGGCCTCCTTCACAACCGCGCTGGGATCTGCCGGGATCGTGCTCTCCAGGGCTTCGTCTGCGGGTTCAGCAGAGGTGTAGCAGAGAAACGTTATCTCAGTTTGTGTCATGGGATTCTTACACTGTAGTAGAAGCTATACTTCACTTCCTTCATATCTTCATATAATGCTGTCATATACATGCTATACTATTACATTCGAATTCCTTAATGATGTGTACGTCTTCTGGAGAGGTGTAATTAATGTGCGATGCCCACACATCGGTCTGAATGTGTCTTCCTAGGGCCCTGCCCCTTTCCAGTTTGTGTAACTCTTGATACCACATTACGACATGGAATATGATGCAAGCTGTAATTTTTTTTGTCAATGGCATTCGTGGGGCAATAAATCTGTGGAATCAGCGGTCGGAGCCTCTAGTAGAAAGAGAGTGTGAAGCTAGTCGGTTCATACACATACCTCGTTACAGACGACCATACCTTCATATAGTGTAGTGTAGTCAATGAAAGGGCAATGTTCCCTAACCTTGTACATTGTTATCCGTCACCTCTTGCCCACTTTCCGAAGGTGTGTTCGTTGGTCTTTGGAACTGTCCCTCGTCGCCATCTTTGCTTTCGCAGGAGTTTTTCCTGGCGATGTCACGAGACGCCGTTTCCGAGTGGCCGTCTGCGTCCTGTCTGACCGGGTGATCGGACACCAGCTCAAAGATGCACGATGGGTGCCGGATTATCTTAATGACGATAAATATTATTCAGTCAACAAGATAAAGATTATTCAGTCAACAAGACAGAAAAAATCGCAGTATTAATGTGAAACAATGAGGGAATGTAGTAATTTTATCTACATCATTCAGTCCTGGAAGTATCTCTGTTCCGGAGCCTTACGTTTTTCCAGGTGAACTCCATCTGAGGTCTGACCATACTGAACGTGTCGTTCAGCATCTCTGACAGGATGTCAGGTAACATGCGGTCTGTGGGGGAAGGAACATGGCCGCTCCATTAATCTATTAACTAATAGATAGATGTTTTGCTTCATTTGTTATAAAACAAGTAGTGCAGAGAAAGGAGACGAATGGTTCGCGATCACCGTTTTCAAAAATGTATCCATACACGCTTTGCGCTAAAAGTTTATTTTTCTAAAAGCAACAATTGCTGACGTTTCCTACCGATTCCGTCCCCGACCATGTATATCTCCATGTCGGACCGGAAGAGAATGAAGAACGGGAAGAGGCTGAGGAAGCTGCGTGCCGGGATGGGCCCGAAGTCCGGCGCCGCGAGGCTGCGGTGTCTCTGGACCAGCGAGGTGTACCAGTGGTTGTCGAACTGCATGCGGAAGTAGGTGGCGCTGTTCTCCGTGGACGTGAGGGTCTACATGCAGGTCATGTGCAGAAAGGATTTGTATGAACTTGGGCCTGGGCCCTGGGTACGGTCGCCGTACGATCATAAAATAGGTTACTCGGGGGATCGGTAATAATCCTGGGATATTCGTGCATACGTACCAGGTTCTACAAAATTCAGCTGTTTTGTTACAGAAAAGTCGGCAGTTTTTTAATTGGTTCTGTCAATTGAAAACCTTGAAACTGATCGTATATGATCTACAAATACCTTTGAGGAATGTGACTGCGTCGTAAGTAGTCCTGTTCATGTCTCACCATACGTAATCTACAAGCTGAAATATCCATTGTCTATGACAGTTTTGATTTAGGCTAGCCTTGCATGTGCAGCTGATGGACATTACGTGTACGTCCCGTCTTAAATGTCACCCGTTCATCTGATTTCTTTATTCTTGCACGTCAATAGAGTGAAACACCCCTATAGCCCGTAAGAGAAAAATCAGTTACTATTGACTGTGTTAACATATGAATGTCATTACCTGGAACTCGACCTCGACTTCGAAGGAACATTTGATAATGGATCCCAGAATGCCCTGCACCAGTGGCAGAAGTCCACGCCGTCGGCTGTAGTACCGGATCGTCAGCCCTTCGCTACTCTCCTCCTGGAAATTCACAATTCTTCTTCATCTAACTTGTCTGTACAGCAAATACACGTCATACGATGCCTCAATGAATGTTAATACAAAATGTATAGACACCTCGCGCGCCATCACCCAGAATACGCGTGAATTAAAGTGTTTGCATACATATACACAATCATGTATATGGGTGCTATGGAAATCTCTTTCGGTTTAAACGGACACTTCGTCTTTTAACATATACCACAAAGAAAACGGTCAGACAGGGAAGTTGGCTTTGCTCTATACATGGCATTATTACCTTACAGACGAAGCTCGGAGGTTTGATCTTCGGGAAAGTGTATCGAGCCTGCTCGTGAAGGTTGTCCAGTTCGTCGATGAAACCCCTGACGTGGCGGGCCAGGGTCCTCAGGGTCTTCTCCATCCCGTTGTCAACATATACCGACACCAAGTTGGCTCCAAACTCATTCAGTAACGTCTCCTAAAGCGGGGAGCTTACCAATTTAGCTTCAGGGGGATGTTTCATCGATCATGTAAGACATCACAACATTACTGGCCAAGGCATGCAGCCAGGCGCGCGGGGCCGTATGGGCCCCTCACCGAGCATGTATACGCGGAGAACATCGGTTGCCCTTATAAATGTACCTTCATACTGTACTCCAGCACTAGAAGTTTGAAAATATATTTAGACTGCTCTGAGGAACAAAGAAGCTTCTATCAATTTGCAAAGCTTCTGAAGTACAGGCTTCACAAAAGAATGTTTTCAGTATAGAATGTATATTACATTCTGACTAAATACACCTTTTGGATAATAGCATTGTTTCGTTGACAGATATGGAGCCGTACATTATGGCTACCCGTAGAAATGTTGCTACCGGTAACTGTTACCTGTGGCTTGCCGATCAGGTCGCTGGCGACTCGCGCTATCCGTAAGATGTACTGGTCCGAGTAGGTCTGCCCGCGGTGGAAGCTCCACACCTTGATACCAGCACGGTGCCGCACAAGCTGTGGATGGCACGGGAACATGGTGTATCTTTTTAGCTACCATTATCATATAGGGACCGTTGGCGGAAGAAAGGGTAGAGACACAGCTTAAATATATATAGCGATTATGACTAATACTTGAAGATAAAGAACTTACATTAAAACGACAAAGACTTGGGAAACGGCATAAAGTATCACATACCCTCAAAATAAATTAAAAAGAGAGATTGAATGTCAAAGGTGCTGAGGCGAGTGAAATCTTAGATTTTATTTCTTTATATCATAAGTGCAAAATCACCTTCCAGACATCATCTCCATACGTTGCCTTCAGGTATTTGTGGATGGCGTCCAGGTACAGACCGTACATGCTGACAGGGCTGGCTCCGCACTCTGATGACTGCACCCCACAACACGGCCTTATGAAACACCAGCTTGGAAACCAAATGTATAAGAACGTACAAAATGGGCGAAAAGACGCCCAGGCAAACGAGCGCTACATGTGCATGGCCCGGGCCTTTGCATGGGTACATTTTAGAGTAAATGATCAGAAACCGAAACGAAATCCAGAAAAATACACTATGCAAACGTATCCAAGCGCGAAACTATACAGCTATGGGTTGCATAATGTACCGAAAAACATTTGTCATCTTGCATGAACCCTCTGGTATTATCAACATCAGCACGTCGGGGTACATGTGTGCGTCCGCACTTGCAGCAGCATTTGATGATTATCATCTACGCATTCATGTTAACATCATCTTAACTATCAATCAGTACTCTTTTAAATAAATACGCAATATTTGGGCGTGTTTACATGGAAAATGGAAAAAAAACTTACTTTAAAAGACAGTGACTTTACTTACAGCACACGACACGAGGGAGTAGCGAAGACTCTCTCTCGACACTACGCCTCGCGATGTGGAGTTTTCCCGTCACCAGCGCGAGCCCGTCTGCCGGTGACGTGTGGAGGACCGTGTCACCTGTTCCTGTCAGACCGCGGGCCGACATGAATGGACCACGCGGCGGAGACGTCTGGCTTTGACAGTTCAATCATTTCGTCAACATTCACCGACCCTTCTAGACACACTTGATGAGCGTATCACACAACAAAGACAAAAACCCCTTATATCCACTTACGAAGACTGGGTGACCCCCCCCCCCAAAAAAAACAGAGTACTTAGCAAATATTCTTATAAAGGGTAAAAATCTACACATAAGAGGGACTCGGTTATACAAGACAGGGAATAGCATTTGTACTTTTTCCCTTTTGTGTTACTGGGAATGATAAGTATCATATACCATAGGAAAAGAAAACGGCCCAGTACAGCTGGTTTTGTCAG